AAAATTATAAGCTGAATCCTCCTAGAAGTGTCTCCATATATTCCCAATATCTGTTGATTCATAAGGACTAGTTCATCCATGCTTTTACTGCATCTTTTTCCATTTTCTATTACCTCCTGCCATATCTGAGGGTCGAATCTAGCTAAATCTAAAAGGGTTCCTTGATTATGGACTGGCTGTAATTGTATACTCATATCTATGTGTCTACGCTTCTATGAAACTTATAGCTTTTTTTGGGTCTGCGTGACTACGTCTTGACTGGCTAATGGTCTTCTCCTCCTACTGCATACTGCATTGTTCTATTGGATCTTCTACAGTTGGTTGTTGGATTATTGGTTCCTGAGCTTTCTGTATTCATTAAAAATATCTTCTAGGTTAGATTGTTCTGGTATTCTAAATATTTTGCTAGGATGTATATTTTCTTATGATATCATCTACTATTCCGTATGAAATTCCTATCCAAAAATGACACTCGTTCGTCATGGTATCTCCTCTGGCTAAATATTCATAATATCTAGCATCTAGTATTTTATTCATGTCTTCTAGGGTAAATTTTGCTAAATCTATCTCATCAGTATTATATATCTTATTTTGTGATACTGTTTTTTTCTTCTGTCATTACATAAAGCTGATTTATTTCACTACGATTATCTTGATTTCTTCCCTATCTATACTACTGAATTTATCATTTCAGATTTTTCTGGTGCTACAAAGTTGTACTGAGTAATCTTACTGCATAATTTCCATCTGCTGTTTGGTATAATAAATTATCTTGAGGGGCTAATCTCTTTTGTCCTAGAAAATCTCCTAGTTTTCCAATCTAGTGCTGCATTAATCTTCAGAATTAAATTTTTTGCTAGTAATGCTTTTATTCCTTTTGCGCCTAATATTTAAACTATTTGATCATTAGTAAGTCTATAGTGAGTATTGCTTTCTGAGACCTGCTAAACTAAAATCCTATGCAAACTAATAAATTCTTTTCTCCCTTTTTCATTTTATATCCTCTACTCTTTATTCCTATTTTTATCTTTTTATGAAAGGTCGAGGTTGGTAGTAAAAAGTCTGGTGTAAAATAAACTATTCCTCCTTTTGAATTCATATCTAGTTCATAACTACCTAAAATACTCTGTCTGACATCATTAAACCTATCATCATAGAGACATACAAACACTTTTGTTCCTAAATTTTCTCTGGTTAAAGCCTTAACTCCTACCACTACTAATCCTAAATGAGTCATTTTAAGGTGTTCATTTACTGCATATTTATAGCTTTCTCTTTCTATTAAATTTAGCTCTATTTTTTCATCTTCTTGAGTCACACTAATCATCTGTTCACCATAGTGTTTAAATAAATATTGTTTTTTGTGAATCTTACCTAGCTTATACACATATTTAGCTGGAATTAACTCTAACTCTTCTTTTTTAAATTTTTCTATTTGCTGTTCTACATCTATAAATTCTTCTACTTTAACATCTTCATCATCATTACGCTTTTTACTACTACTACCTTTAATTAGCTGTTTAAACATTTTTATTTTCTGTAAATTCTACAAGCTGGTTTCCTAGGTAATTTAAGATTTTCAAAATATCTGGCTATATCTTCCTCGTTTACTTGAGATTGATGTTTGTTGGATTGTCCTTCTATTCATTTTCCTTTCTGAAGTACTAATTTTTCTAAAGACGCTAGACGATTTTCTAAGCTATGTAATTGTTCTGATAGGTATTCAAATTTTTCACACAATCGAATTAAAAATAAAATTTCTATATTATTTTGTCTTACTGATATTTGATCTGATTGATTTATTCCTTGATAACTACTAATTCCTTCCGGGTTATTATGAAAATCTTCTGCTTGTTTTAAAATAGTCTGGTAATCTCTATTAGCTTTCTTATCACTACTCATAAACTAAGACCTTACAAGTTGTTCTAAAATTTCTAATTTTTGTTTTAAATTATCTTGAATTTGATTAATTTGTTCTATTTGTTTAGCTATTTGATTTGTAGCTGAAATTAATGTTTCTATTTCTAGCTTAGTAAGAAATTTTTCTAAATTTAAATCTATTCTTTTTTGTAGGATAAAACTACACTGATCTTGAATATAATCTAATTTTTTATCTTGATCTTTAATTATACTACGATTATTACGAAGATGATCTATAGATGAAATAAAAAGATTACTAATTTTATCTATGTCCTTTTTAATATTTTCGGCAAAATTTATCTGATAATCTATGATACTATTTAGCTGAGGATTATGTTCACTATGAAGCTGATGTGTAAAAGTCTCTTCAAAATTACAACGGAAATTATTTTTATTTATGCTAAGGTGACGGTTATGGCTGCTGAGTTCTAAATCTAGATACTCTACTTTTTTCATACACAAAATTAACTCCTACTTTAAAATTATTATAGGCTACTATAATATGAAATTTATAACTAAAATCTCCAAAAATAAAAACTACTCTATTACCATAAGCAAAATGCATAAACTAATTTAAACTGTCCTAAAACCGAACACTGCTCTGATACCAATTTTTGAGGGATTAGAGTTAGTGGTCTACCACTATTTGGAATTGGGCTGAGAATTACCTAATTAATTCTACAGTTATGCTAAAAGATCTTCAAGCTGTTGTATGGCTATCTTTAAGGCTTCTTGTTTTATAGTTAGCTGTCTATTTATCTGAGAAATTTTTAAACTGTAATTTTCTAGAGATCTGCTAGAAACTAATGATAAAAGAAACTGATATCTAAATATTTGATCTTCTAATTCTTGTATTAATTCAGTACTAATTTTAATTTTATTCCTAAGGTCTTCGTCTAAGGGCATATACTTTTTTGATTTTTTTGAAATTTAATTTTTATTTCTAAGGTTTACGTCTAAGGGCATACAAATTTTTGATTTTTTGAAATCCTTATATGGACAATATTTCCTTAATATTTCTACTCGGGTTGCTCTCCTTTTATTCTAAAATTCTTTTCTATGGCAAAAATTATTTTTAGGCAATGTTTGTTTTCAGTACATGTACTCCCACCTTGTGACTAAGTCTCGTTCAACATAGTATATTTTTATTTTCCATTTTTACTTTTCCCTTTCTGCCTACAATTCGCCCTCCAACGCCTAACCACGGCTCACACGGGCTCTTCAGCTAAGGTCACTCAGTAACAAAATAGAAAACTGAAGATACTACGAAGGTTCAAAGCATGTAATATTAATGAGCAAACAAGCATTCCATAAACTTAGTTTTTCCAAAAAGAAAATAAATTTTTAGAATAGAAGAGTTACCCTTTCGAGATATTTAAGGAAAAAGAGAAACTACTCACACTTCATATTAATAAGAAATATACTTACAAAGATTATATTACAGACTCTGAAACTCTGAAAGACTTAATACACTTAGAGGTTTTTGAGAGGGGTTGAAAAATTTACAACGCAGAATGAAGTGGTGTTTTTTCATTCTGCTTCATCCGTTGGCAAACATGCCAATTTATACACAAGGTTGATACATACAGTCCAAAAAACAATACGTCAAAAGTTTTGGCCAAAAACAAAAGTCTAAAAGGCTATTAACTCTAGACTTGACTATAGATTCTTAAACTCTTACAATAATCTATGCCATAAATGCATAGATTTGGACGTGAGTTACTATTAAGGATAAAATTTTATCAATAAATGATTAGGATAATGATATCGGGTACTGCTTTGGGCCCCATCGAATATCATTCAATCCTTCTTTTTTGACAAAATTTTGACACTATAAGTTATTACAGGACACGTATAAGGATTTTCACAACTTTTCTTTAATAAAGCAGGATAAGAAATATCTACTTTATTAAAATAGTGAGTGAAGGAAAATCCTTATCACTGACAGACTCAAATAATTACAGACACAAAATATTTGCAAAATCTTTTTGGGTTTTTCTTGGCGTATATTTTTCTGATATCTGAGGAGAACCCTTATCTTCTATGGATCTTGTCTTCTTTTGTTTCTATGGATCTTGTCTTCTTTTGTTGGCTTGTCTTCTTTTGTTGGAGCGCCAATTATTGATGTAGACCTTTGGAGTGATTCTTCAAAGTTGGGTCTTCGTGGAAGAATTCTTCAAAATGTAAAGAGTCAAGAAAGATGGAAAACAATTATGAATTTTATTTTTTTAGTTAATTCTGTTAAATAAAAAAATTTAATAAGGAAATATTTATAATTTTTTAAATCACAAAAAATAATTTATATTTTAATCAAATTTCAGAGAGTATTTATAACTTATTTAAAAAAAAAAAAAGATGTTTTGTTAGTTAGCTAAGGTTGCAGTAGCTGTTGGTGGTATGGTAGAGAATACACAAATGTGTTGGTAGTGTCGGAGGTGACCAGAGTGACATTGACTGAGACCGATTGGTCACTTAGCTCGCCGATGATTGGTCTAGAAGTTGGCTTGAGATTGCTAACGGTGGGTGGTGAGAGAAGAGAGTGAAAATTTGTTTTGAACAAAATTGAAAGCATACAAACGAGTTTTCATTTCTAATTTCTTAAAACAAAAAAACTATAGTGCAACCAAATGAGTCTTGCAAAAATAATTAAATGGTCCAGAAAATATATACTATTTTTCCTAACTCATTTATACTATTTTTGCCTCATAAATTATAAACAAAATTCGCAACAAACATTTTGTAACAAACTCCCAAAATAAAAACAATAGTAAACAAAAATTATAACCCTTGCACAGGGACACCTGTAAGCCGCACCAAACAAGGCCAATGATTTACAAAACAATGGCTCTCAGTCAAAGCTCTTCTTTTAACAAAAAAATATATGGATCTCATTAACGTGTGCTCTTAGAACATATTTTAAGCGAACTTAAAAAGATTATACATTAGGCATGATGTATAATCTTTTTAAGGGCTTGGCTTAACACACAGCAATAAGACCCATAAGATAAGGGAAAGCAAGGGCTATGTCCCTCTCCTTTCAAACATAGCTACTTGCCAAGCCATCACATTGCTACAGTGCATTCAAAAGAGACTCAAACTTTGCAGAGTAAACCAACATTACCTCAATGTTGTTAGGATATTACAAATCCAAATTTACAACCACCAGATAAGCAAAACAAGAATAGCATATTAAGGAAGATGTTCACCCACCAAAAAATATGTGCAATGATGTTTCCTGGCAGAAGATCATGAAACTACATATTGCACCGATTTGCATATCCAATCTGGAATTCTTGGTTACAATATTACAATTATTATAAAGGATTTCCGGGATCAAAGTTCGCACAAAGAGAAACAAGAAGAAAGCGAGAGGACCAGCTGTTCACTTGCACAAAGCATCTAGTGGCCATACTTCTGAAACTCCCACTCGCTGTTATCTGCACAAACAAAGAACCACAACGAAAGAAGAAAGATATCAACAAGCAATCACATTTATGTGAATCCAGGGCGTAGTAGTAGGGGGCATAGAACTTACCCAATGGACACACTTGACGTGTCTTGAGCCAACGGCTGATGCAGTGGAAGTGGAATGCATGGTTGCAAACCCCTGAAGGAATGGAAACCAACTTTGTTTCAGCCAAAATCAGAAACACATATAAGACAGCAATAAATGATAACCAGTCTGACTTGGTATTGAAATAAATAAAATACATCAAATACAAAATAGGGAACAAAGTACAAATCTCAAGGAGACTCAGTAATGGAATTGGTGTTTCACACAAGTGGCACGCCTAAGTTGACAAATTTAAGTCCAAACACGGCACAAAATACTGCTCAACAACGTTCAGAAGTGTTCATTAAACCATGAATGTTATCCGAAAAAGCTATATGTTTTCCTTCCATTTAAAAGCATGTTTCAGGACTTAAAGGTATGTTGCCATTAAATCAAAACTAGCAAAAGATTATCATTCCATTGACAGGTACGGTGGAAGTTCTTGAAGTGCCGCTCAGGTATCACTAGATTTCACACATACGCTCAGGTTTTAAGTTGCAATGATTTTAAACAACGCGCACCAGGGTTTTAAAATGTAAGAAGTAGTGGGAAAACTCAAAAAGAAAAGTCATATTATTATCAAAAGATCAAAGGGATCCCCTACCTTCCTCCGCGACCCCAAAGAAAATAGAAAGAGCAATGACCTAGTCACTTGAGCAATTTTGGCTAACAAAGTCACTCAGCTCACATGGTAGTCAATGAAGATAAAGGGTTCAACATATGATATTAAAATTTATAAGGTTAATAAGAAACCACAGATCATCATCCATGCATGTTTGTTTAGGTAACAAAGGTGTTATAAGATGAGAGTAATCTTTGTTACCCAGTTACGTATGCATCAAGGCAAAATTGGCCAAATTCAAAAAAAAACAAAAGGACCAACTCATGGTTAATTTTATCCCACAAGCTATCATGCCAGTTCAGTGACAGTGCATAACTTTGTGGCGTAAATTAGCATAAATGCCCAAGTCATGGCTCTACACACTTCCAAGAACTCATCCATTTGAAATCTTGATAATAATACACAATTCCTCAAAATAACAATACATTTGTCAATAAAACATTTCAGTGTAGACTTCATGAAATTTTAGGGTTATCAAGAAACAAAGAATTAGGCATCAAGTGCCACCAAGTAAACTCTGGTCCATTCTTGAATCGCATAAAAGACCATTAAAAAAATGAGAGAGAGAGAGAGAGAGAGAGAGTAAAAAGGAACACCTCAACAGTAAAATGCAAATATTTAGCATTACATAGATATAGTCCATCAAAAAATTCAGTGGGTATTATATAAGGATTGAGGGTTACATATAAAAAAACTAAGAATTAGTCATCAAGTCTAATCAAGTTCCACATTCTTCCTTTTTCATTGCTCTTCCTTTCTTTATAAAAACAACGCCCAATTAGTACACATTAATGTGTGTTTGGGAGAGGAAAGATTGAGTACACACCTAACTTTTGACATAATGCTCTTCCTTTCTTTATAATTATAAAAAAATAAATAAAAGAAATAACAGGATAGCAAATTGATTTAAGGGTTATTACCAAAAAATGGACTAAATCCAAATTAGGAGGACACCAACTTTAAAACTTAACTTGTGACAACTAGACCCAGTATTCGGTTGATGTATTGATTATATATCTCAATCATTAACATACAGCAAATATCAGAACCAGACTAAACAGCACACAAGTATCTCAAGCACAGAGACACAATTATCAAGTCAATTAAACCTTGAAGCTATGTGTTGGGAGACGTCCATTCAAATTCATGCTCACGGTGCAAAATAAAGTTGACCATAATGATATAATAAAAGCATGCATCAACATGTATATCACTAAAATTTAAGTACCAGGAAATAAACCAATAAAACCTTGTGCACTTGGTGCAATTTTTAAAACTCTAACCACTAAACCAGTAACTTGCACAAATACAACATACTGAGACATTCTAGCTTCCTAGAACAAAGTTGATTTACAACACACATGACTTTTCAAGGAACAAAACTATTAATCCACTGAACACATAATACCCAACAATCTTCTTCAATAGTCTCCCTTGAGTAGCTTAATCACCACCCAAAACACTAAAAATACATCCTTAAAAAATCAATTAACCACGAGATATTGACAATTTTTAGACAGTTGCATGCATTTACTAAGACAAAGCAAATTCCTTAACCCCAAACAAATCTCCTATCCCCCACATTCTTAAGAAAAATGAAAGCAAACTATAAAAGAAAGACCAAAATCATACACTCAAGCTCTTGGCAACAATATGTCACAAATGGCAGGGTAAAACATCATCATCCATGTGATCCTTAAACCCATGCACAACATCATAACAGCAACTCAATGATATGATTAGATTAGCTTCAACATTCTTCTCAGCTCTAAGATCCAAAGGTACACACCCACTAGTATATATATATATAAATAGACACACACAAGCTCTTAACATGCAAGGTATACATACTTCAAAATTTTACCCTCAAGAAGCAATGTTAGAAAAAGAAACAAAATGAGGTAAAACAAATCAGTTACACACTTTCTATTACCACAATATATTAATACTACTCCAAGAAAGCCTTTCTTGGAACCATTCTTATATCTTCCAAGAATACATATGTTTGTGTGCATAAAAGAGTGAACTTTTCATATATGCACATCTATGAAGCATGGGTACTACGACAAACATACCGTATCCGTGCTGGGTGCTGGGTATTTACTGGTAGGGCTGCAAATGAACCGAACTATTCACAAAGAAGCTCGGCTCGGCTCGGCTCGGCTCGGCTCGACTTGTTTAGTAAACAAGCAGAGCTCGAGCTCGAGCTCGAGCTCGAATAAGTTCAGCTCGTTTTTAAATTATATAATAAATATATTATTAATATATTAAATAATATATAAATAATAGTATCAATACATTATTTATACATTAAATAATATTTTTATTTAAATAATATTAAAAAAAATCTTATTGAGCCAAGCCGAACTCAGCTCAAGTTTCATTAATATTAACGAGTCGAGCCGAACTGAGCCGAGCTCGAACCCAATTACTTATCGAGCCGACCTCAAGCTCAATAAACGAGCTCGATAAACAAACTCAGCTCGAGCTCAGCTCGGTACGGTTCAGCTCGTTTGCAGCCCTACTTACCGGTGTATGGTAATTCGTATGGTACTTCTACATACATACTGAGTAGATGAAACACATATCTAAATTTCTACTACAGATAAAATTCCTTTCACTATACTTCTTTTTTATTTTTAGTTTGATACTTAGCATGATTTTAAAATTAAGCTATAGTTTGTAAGTTATTAAATATAATGATATTTAATTTTGGTTTATATCTTTACTTTTGGCATTAAATGTTAATTGTAGATGGGACGTTAACAAATTAAATCATTTAATCAATTTCAGCATTACTCAAAATTAAAAATAAATATTTTTTTTACAAACGTATCAAGTCGTACCCGTACCCTACATTTTTCGGATTTTACCGTATCAGCATACTGTATCGTACTAGTACCCATGCTTCATAGATGCACATAAATATAGGTGTTTAAATATATGCATGTGTCTATAAATACATATACAAACTAGTAGATGTGTGCTCACCCGATAAGTGTTGTTAAATCTACAAAATATAAAGTTTGATTTTGATTTAAAAGTATAAATTGTGTGCCGCTCAAGTGGTAAAGATGTTGTTTCCGGACCAAAGGTCTTGGGGTCGAATCCCATTCACCTGATTAATAAAATTGTGTGTTTTAAAGAGGCTAGAAGGGCATCGGAAATGAAAATTTCAGAGAGTCCCAACACCATTGAAGGCTTCACTTTATATATAGTATATTATATATATATATATATATATATATTCTAAAAATACATACAAAACAAGAATTCTATTCATCTATTTTAAATAACAAAAAAAAAAACACATAAAAAAAAAAAAAAAAAAAAAAAAAAAAAAAAAAAAAAAGAAGAAGAAGAAGAAGAAGAGAGATTTTCAGAAAAGATACATACCCCAAGCGACGGTACATTCCTCGCTTGTGGCACTAGCTTGGTTGGCTTGGCACTCAATACCTAAAAATGCACATCAACAACATACCCACAACATCATATACAACAAAACAAACAAAGAACGATCAAATCAATTAGAAACGATAAAATGGTGAAGATCAAACTCACAGAGATCCATGATATGGTTCCTGCAAATCGCACAGTTATCCACAACAATATCTGCATCCACCACACGATTCAGTCAATACACATAGAATGGAAACACATAAATATGCAGATTGAAGAAACTAGGGTTAGCGTTAGGGTTTGGTACCCCAAGCCCAAAGAGCGACGGCGTTCCACTTCTTGATTTCGAATCGCTTGGCCTTCTTGGAGGAAGACGATGTTGAGGCGGTGGAGGACGATGGTCCAGCGGCGCCTGAGCCGTCACCGCCGACCGGAACCATGGTGACATCGGTGTCGAGAGAAGCCATTAGCTGAAGCCAACACACACACAAAAGTAAAATGCACGGCTTTTGACTCACTTCAATTCTCGCAATTTGTGGATTTTTTGAGTGTCAACACTAATGTGGACATAGTGTTAACACTACGGTAAATTACAAAGGGAACTGCTACAAACCCCCAGTGGGACCCACTGACAATCCCAATGACGTGTCGCATTGGGATTGGTCAAAAATTAAAAAAAAAAAAAAAATTTCAAGAGGAGCCGACCCCAGCACCCCCACCTGGGGGTCTAAGTTATTTTTCAACAAAAATGCTTTATACCCTCGCTGAGGGTCGATCTCAGTGAGGTGGAGGCCCATGATTGGGTAAAAAAAAATTGTTTTTTTTTCCAGTGGCGATACAGACCCCCTCAGATTCCCACCCCCATCACCCCACACACACGTGGGGGTTGGTGAGTGGAGGAGAAGAAAAAAAAAAAATTTTTTTTTTACCAATGAAAGAGGGTTGTGGGGTTGCTTTCAAAAGGGGGTCTAAGTCTTTTTTGTTTTTTTTTTTGGTTGTCAGCCAGTGGGTGCGCGCCACTTCACTGGGGGTGCGACCCCACTGGGGTATTTAGCAGGGCTCTATTTTTCAACGGCAGTGATTGAGAGCTCTAGTAGAGCTGCTCTAATAGCAGCTCTACTGAGCTGGCAACCCCTTTTAAAAAAAAAAAAAAAAAAAAAAAAAAGAGCAGAAAAAGACAAAACAAAGGGAAGAAAAAGACAATTTAATGCCAATTTAGATCTACATTTTTAGAGCTCCAAAGCAATTTCCATTTTTCAATTACAAATATACTTTTCGAGTTTGTTTAAAGGGAATGACTTTTCTTCGGTTTATTTTGTGAATTAGATTATATTGTTGGGGCTTGTGCGTTCATTACAAATTTTATTTTGATGATTTAAATTATTTAATATGTATAATTCTTCGAGTATTTCAATTTATAAAAAAAATTACGTTAATAAGATATCGATAACTTTATGATTGGAATATATTTTTGTTAATAATTTATTTGTAAATCATATTTATCATTGACAAAAATATGATTTGATGAAGGGGTTATCGATATTTGATTAATATAATTTTTTGTATAGATGAAGTACTCAAAAGTCTTTATATATTGAACGGTTCAGATCATCGAAATGGGACCCGTGACAAGCTCCAAGAGCCCAACATCACAATTCAATCTACAAAGTGGATTGGAAAGAAACTCATCTCTTGTTTAAAATACAAATTATATTTTGTGATTTTAAAAATTATATTCCATCTCTTAAAATTTTTATTTTCTTAACAAATAGCTACTTTATTAATAAATCGTCAAACTAATTAAAAGTTTTTAATGGTGTCAAAATTTTGTTTTAATTAATAATTCAGATAATTTTATCATTGTATAGGATAACAGTTAAAAATTTTATTTTTTCAGTTAATTCTGTTAAATAAAAAATTCTAACAAGAGGGTATTTGTAAGTTTTTAAACTATAAAGAGTAATATGTATTTTAAGCAAATTGATAAGGTTTGTTAGTATTGACACTAGCATCGATAAGGATGGTCACACATCAGGCTTGGGGTGAGTTTGTACTAATTGGATAGATGGGTACATGACAATCAAATTCGACTTCAATAAAGCTTATGATCAGATTGAGTGGGATTTTCTCCAAGCATTGTTGAGGAAGATGGGCTTTCATCCTATACGGATTTAGTGGATTATGCAATGTGTTTCAACAGTTAGTTTATTTGTGTTTGCAAATGAGGAAAAGAAGGCATCTTTTATTACTTCTCAGGGGCTGAGGCAAGGAGATCCTTTGTCTCCTTATCTTTTTATTTTAGTAGCTGATGTCCTCTCCAAATTGTTAGCAAAAAGCGTCCATGATAAAAAAAGGTTTCTAGATTAAAAATAACACGTTATTGTCCTACCCTTTCCCATTTGTTGTTTGCGAATGATGTGCTTCTATTCCTCAGAGCAGATATTGATGAATGTACAAATACATTGGATGTGTTGCGAGTCTATTGTGAAGCTTCAGGTCAGGTTATAAACTTTGACAAGTCAAGTGTTCAATTTTCATCTAATGTTTTATCGGAGATAAGGGGCAGTATCTGCTAGCTCTCAGGCTTCAGACCATCACCGGCTGAGGTGAAGTATCTCGGCTTACCGTCGTTCTGGGGAAGGTCAAAGGCAGAGGCTTATGAATTTATTATTGAGAGAGTTTTGGCGAAATTACAAGGCTGGAAATTGAAGTTGTCACAAGCTGAGAGGGAAGTGTTGATTAAAGCTGTTGTCCAAGAAATCCCAGCATATGCGATGGCTTGTTTTGCATTTCCAAAGAAATTTTATGATAAGATAAATTCATATATCAGTAAGTTTTGGTGGAAAGGAGACCCGAAAGGAAAGGAATTCATTGGGTGAGTTGGGGGCAGCTAGCTTTATCCAAATTCTATGGAGGTTTGGGATATAGAGATTTTAATGGGTTTAATTTGGCTCTTCTAGCTCGACAAGGATGAAGGTTGATGAAGTTCCCTAACTCATATTGTGCTATGATATTGAAAGGAATTATTTTCCCCATTTGGATTTCGTTAATGCTTCTAGAGGAGGTGTGCTTCTTGGGCGTGGTCTAGTATAATTCATGGAAGGAGTATTTTGTTGCAAGGAGCAAGATGGCAAGTCAACAACGGGGCCTCAGTTTTGTTTTGGGACAACAAGTGGATTCCATCTATTCCTGGATTTAAACTTTTCTCTCCAAGACCAGTTAATTGTGGGGTAAACAGAGTAGTGGATGTGATTGATCCGGTAGATTGAGGCCCTTAATTGCATAGTTTCAGCAAAGAAAGTCAAAGCTATATGTACCATTCCAATTTCAGAAGAGGATAATGTGGACTCTTTGGTTTGGCAGTTCGAGTCCAAGGGTTCTTACTTGGTGAAGTTGGGTTATCATGTAGCTTTAAAGGAGAAAGCAATGGAGTTAGCTCAGAGACTGCCATCATCTCCTCAGCATCCCAAGAATTTTTGGAAATTCATTTGGTCCCTAAACGTCCCTCCGAAAGTTCGTCATTTCTAGTGGAGAGTATTAAGAATGTGCTAGCTACAAAGGAAAATCTGCTCGAAAGGAATTGTGCTATGTCAGGTCTTTGTCATATTTTTCATAAGAGGGGAGACTTTGTAGAGCATCTATTGTTTGAGTGTGATTGGGTTCAAGCAGTGTGGTTTGAGAGTGAGGTTGGTTATAAAGTTTCTTTGTCAGAAAATCAATCAATTTTGAAGTGGGTTTGTGAGATGATGGAGTATTTCAATGACAACAATGAGTGTAATATTTTTTCAGCTCAATATTGCCTGGATTGGTTGGTTTGTGTGGAAAGAACGCAATGAGTTTGTTTTCTCTCAGATGGATAAAAAGGGGAAAGAATGCATCGAGCAGGGATGGATAAAAAGGAATTTGATACGAGTGCCAATTAGAATAGCAGGTGAGCATCACAGATCTACAAGTAACAAGCAAAGTGAAGATAAATGGCAACCTGCAACTGCTGGGAAATTCAAGATAAATTGTGATGTAGTTACTCAAAAGAGCTTTGATCTGGCTTCAACTGCGGTAATTCTTCCAGACTCGAAAGGCAGGCTATTGGATGGTTTGGCAAAAAAGATTGTGCGCTCTTCTTCTCTTTAAGGTGAGGCCTTTATATGCCAGTTAGCTTGTCAGTTAGCTCTTTCGGATGTGGAAATTGAAGGAGACAACATGTGTGTTATGTTGGAAAAAATGATTTTTTGAGACTTTAATTTAATATTAAAGTGTGGTGACTTTAATTAAATATTAAAGTGGGTCCTAACCATTTTTTGTGTTGGGTCCAAGTGAGCCAAAAACTATTGGGTTTTGAATAAAAAATTGCCAAGAAATTGCTTCATGATGTTAGATTCATGAATAAGATTTTAAAGAGTATTTAAATCTTTTTTCTTGGCTAAAGGGTGTGAATCCTTTGGGCATCCATACTTTTCATTTTGTGGTTGGTGTTTTAATGACTAGCCTTAAAGGCTGGAGGCTTTTTCTCTCTCCCCTATACATGTATAAATTGAGACCCTCCTGTCAAGTTTCTATATAGAAATTTTTGCTTCCATTTTACAAGTCAGTTTGCTTGATAGTTCCTATTGTGAGAGAGTGCTGCCATTGTTTTGTTCGCTAAGCTAGACAGATGGTGCTTCTGCTGTAGCTGGTTTTGATCGTCGTATCCTGGGAGACAGACGTCGGGTTTCCTCAAGCACTCGACCCGTGAGGTGGCGAAATCTGTTTTAAGGAAACTGCTTCCGTGCAGGCTTCGGTTTTGTCTCTTTACCCTTTATTGTTTTTTGTGTATTTCTGTTAAAATTTAGTTGTAATTATCAGCATATGTTCTTGGTACATAATTTGTTTTCTTCATACATCTATTTATTTAATTTCAGAATTTTGAACAACAAGCTTAAAACAGATTTCGTATATCTTTTCTATGAAATTGATTGAATAGATTTATATAGACTATTAGGTTAGCTTTGTATAATGTTACTAGGAATTGTTGCGGAATTGCTCACTATTTCAATAATTGTAAATTATGCAATGGTACTCTCTAATTGCTTAGTTTAATTAGAATGCTCTCTTATAATTTGCATACTTAATTGTATTAGTATGATCTTGTTTTATGCATATGGTTCATCATTTCCCGACCATGATTTGCATGAATTTTAAGGTTATAAAATATAATTTATGGATGTTGCAATTTTGACATGCTAATTCTATTCTAGTCTTAATTTGTTACATGCTTATTATTTTCTAGGCTAGATTACATAATTTAATGTATTTGGAGTTATAGAGTTTTATGAATTGTGTACATGATTAATCTAAATTATCTAATTGTGTGCATTAATATGAATTATTTAATTGGGTGCATTAATCTAAATTATCTAATTGGGTGCATTAATCTGAGTTATTTAATTAGGTGCATTAATCTGAATTATTTATTTGGGTGCATTAATCTAAATTATTTAATTAGGTGCATTAATCTGAATTATTTAATTAGGTGCATTAATCTGAATGATTTAATTGGGTGCATTAACTTTGAATTTGACTTATC